TAAGAGGCCCAAAGGAAAAAGTCAGCTCTATGGAATTCTCGCTGTTCATGGCATTGCTGCAATGTCCAGATCACATCTGACTTTGGCATCACTATTTGTCAGATTGACGCTGAGGGTCATGGACAGAAATGTGTATAGCAAGCTGATGAGGACAATAAACAAGGCCTCTTCAAGAAAAGTTGTGTGACCACACTCGTGTCACTAGAAGGGACCAGAGTCAACTGCTCAGTACGCATTTCTGGTGTTTAGTGAAAAATAGTTGTGTCGATCGGAGTAGAGCAGGCCTTGCGGATTGCAGTTGCACAGTGCTTCCGACGACCACCTGATGCAAAACATGGTCCCGTGGTACGTGACTTAATAAAACGCTCTTTACTAAACCTGTATTATTAGTCAACAGGTTTTCTCTTCACGGGTGAGTTATAAATAGAGGTTATAATATTCTGTATTTGGAATAAACATTGTATCTTTTATCCTTTCCGAGCTAAATACACAGCGTTTATTCCTAATACAGGACATTTACCATCGCCTAACACACGCTTTGATAACCTCTTTCTCATATAATGTCATTCTTCAATTCTGTCCTCGAAATCTCTCTTCCAATCTCTCACAAACATTAACGAAACATTGAAAGTGTTCCTGGTGAGTGAGTGAGTGAGTTGGGTTTAACTCCGCTTTTAACAGTATTCCAGTTATATCACGGCGTGTCAGCTTAATGTGGAAGGAAAGCCCGGAATGGTCCAGGTCTCAAGACTTTTACCACTTCGGTGAAACCCATGAGCACGGGTATGGTGATGACAAACCTAGAAACATAATTGGTGTTGAACTGGGATTCGAACCCACAATCATAGGTTTCTGGCATGCCCAAGGGCGAAAGTGTTCCTGGAATGTGTGCAATACTATATATTACGTCAGAAGGTTAGCCACGTGTCCGTCGGACAGCGACGACAATCAATGTAGTTCCACCTGGAACCTCTTTCTATTACAGTAGCGTAACTTCATATAGGCAAATCAACAATTGCCTTCACAAATTATTTCTCTTTTCCTTTCGTGACAATCCACTGGTCTGTCAGCCAGAATAACTGGCCTTCATCAAAGGGAAGTTGATCCAACCGTAGTCTATGAAATGCCACGTTTGTTTAGAGTCTGCCTGTCCTGTCATAACGTTACGAAGTGCAGTCAAATGAACACACATCAACTAAACGAAACAAGGTAACAGTTCATACATATTTCGGCCAAATCCTACTGTGTTAGTATGGGAGAAATGTTCCAATCCACAGAGGTCTGCAAGCAGAGGTATTGAAATGGATCCTGCTGCTGGCGCTAGGCTAGTGTCCTCGCCAAATTGTTTCGCAATTTATATCTCCAAAGTTCCCAAAACGTGTACCATACCACAGATACGTCACAGTTTCAGGATATCAGACTCTTTCTTTGATAATGACAGCAAATTATCCCAGTAGTTTATCCGGATTCCGATGGTTAATTGTGATTCGATCGGCGAAAGTTCCTACTTTGATATTTTCATTACTATCCGCACATGAAGCCAATGGATATTGCTTTTATTCGCTGGCTTTATCAGTTGCATTCTTAATTTTGTTTTGCTTTCATGTTATGTTTCGTCCGACCCTCTGAAGATGAATTTTGACATGAATAGCACAAAAAAACAACGTACGTCCCCCCAAAAAATGTGTATATAGATGACTGCCTACAAAATATAGGGGAACTGATGAAATGATAGTGAAGGTGTAATGACGATAAATGTCTAAAAAGAAATTCGGGCGTGTAGATCAATACCTGGTGTATCCACCATATTGGGCGGTACTTGCACGACACCTTGATGGAATACTGTTGATAAACTTGCGTACGGTCGTCCTAGATATTGCCCTCCATTCCGCCTGAAGAGCTACCCAAAGCTTGGCCACGTTGATAGGTGCTTGGTCTCTGTCTTTCAGTCCCGACTTGAGAACATTCCACAGATGCTCTATCCCAGGGGACTTAGCTGGCCAGTCCAATGACCGAATGCCTTCTAGTCGTAGATAATCGATGACGAACTGTGCACGATCTTGCAGTTTTGACGAAAATTCTTGCAAAAAGGACAACAACAGGTGGCGTTGCAAAATGTTGTCAACAGGTCGCTGGCCGCTCAAATCTCAAGTTCCAAAAAAAACAAATGTTCGTTTATCATGTGTGACACCCCACCACACCATGACACTACCCCTCCCGTACCGATCTTGGTCAAGAACTGTTGCCCTGTCATACTGCTACTTGCCAAACACCGTGTTCTTCTATCTGAGTCGGAACCACTGGCGCGCATCCCGTCCCTGGTTCTGCTTAGTTCCACCCAATCTTTGCCGCCTATGGTATGCTTTCAGGCGGCCTCACCTCACCTCACCTCACCTCACCTCACCTCACCTCACCTCACCTCAACTCTCTTGTACCAATAATTCGAAATTTCATTGTGCTTAGATGTTCTGTTTAGATGCAACGCCATGGTTTTGAAAATGCACACCTTAACCATAGCTACATTTAAATCATGAGTTGCTATATTTTTGTCGGTAGTATATACTATACAGGAAACATGCCCTGTCCGTTGGACAAAGGCTTGAAGAAGCAATGAGAAGGAGTGTCTCGTCTTCAAGAAGAAAACATCCCCTTCATTCGTTTGATTTAATTTAAGACACTTCTTTGGCAAGCCTCGACTCAAGACATTGAAGCATGGGCTGATGAGCTCAGTTATATTCTAAAGCAGGGGAAGTAACTCCTGTGGGCTTAAGACAGTCATGTTTGGCATATGCAGAGATGAGATGGAAACTCACAGAATTAGAACAGGAAGAACGTGAGGTAGTCGGTCCCGTGGATCACCAGCTTTTGAATTCCACACATCGAGTCTAACCCTTTCCTGGTGCCACGTTCGTGGCATTGGATCAATACTGCGGAATCGGCGAAGAAATAATGGTTTTTTTCAAGAAGAATAGTCTAAGTGATGACCATATTTAAAATGAGTAGCTAGTAAAATACTATGGTGACAAGGTTACATATTTGTCGAAATAGGCTACTGAATGGACCGGGTGGTCAGACTCACTGACTTGGTTGATTTTGTGTGATGGTATCCCGACACGCGTCGGACGTTCCTCATACTGTCAATCCCTAGTTTGACAGGTTTTCGTCATATAGTTATGAAATGTTTAAGTGTGGCGGTAAACAATAAACATACAAACAATGCCCTGTAAGGGGCAATGGGTCCTACAGTCACGAAAGGCGATGCGATTGGCTGTTCTGCGTTGTGTCCCTTACCATGATCCAAAGATTATGGAAATGAATTCCAGATCCTCTCAGATTTTGGTTTTTGATAAGTCAGCGTCATATGTGTGATCTATGTTGACCGAGAGAAAAATAATGAACTGTATGGTTTTGTTTCGTTTGCCACATGCTCTCTCGTTTTCGTTTCGTGTTATCGGCTTTTAGCGTCCAAGCCACAATTATGATCATTGGTTTCAGGAAAGAACAGACTCGCGTCGGGCTTCCCTCCCACATGGAAGGGAATTCATTCATAAAGTTTAAATACATTTCAAAGCGGCGATATCGCTAGCTTCCTAGATATGAATTATATGTTGTAAAAGTTTTTGCTCATGTCAACTTCACCCAACTTCAACTACATCAAAACATATTTATCATGCCCCCACTCATTTACAGCAGGTGATAACCGTAGAGCTCACATGTACTTCAAACTTGTTAGAACAGGCTACCAGCAGCTTAATCATGGTGGTTAGGGGTGGATGCTTGTAAGAGGCGACTAACGGGATCGGGTGGTCAGGCTCGCTGACTTGGTAGATGCATATCATCGATCCCAATTGCGTGGATCGATGGTCACGATATCAATCACTGGATGGTCTGGTCCAGACTCGAATATTTACAGACCGCTGCCATTTGGTTTGAATATTGCTGAGTGCGGCGTTAAACAAAAAAGGTTGGAGGTGACTATATATGGGTGTGGATTGACTTGGCTGATTGCGTTTCATCGCACCCAGATGGCATAGCATATGTTTTCACTCTCTGATTATTTAAAGGCTTGAAAGAGTTGGAATCCAGTGTTAACAAACGAACATACATGTAGCCACACCATGCTCCCTGTTTAATACAGCTGGAATATTGCCGAATGCAGTGTGAACAAACGAATACAGCCAGGCTATCCCATCCTTGATAGAGGTGGAATAATACTGAGAGCTGTGTTAACAAACAGACACAACTGCACCTTGTCCCTGTGTGATGCTTGATCAAACAAAACATATCTAGTTCACATCACCCTCGATTATCCAGTGTAATATGCCCCCTTTCTGTTACAATTTAAGACACGGCCACATTCGGTTATACAGCTTCCTTATGAGCCCCAAAATACGAAAGCCTAATGGTGCCACTTTGGCGCCAGTTCTTTTTTTGGTTATAATCAAAATTTCTTGTTATTTCAATTATTTTCTCTCGGTACTTCGATTGGTTTCTCGTAATATCGATTAGTTTTTCGTTATTTCAGTTTTATTTCAAGAACGCGAAATTTCTATTTAAAAATCAACAACTTGATTGGGATTTCGCACGACGAGGCTTTCGTACCAAATAGCCTTCCAAGCAAATACCAAGTGACGGTTAACGAACACTGTCGAGATAATGTAACACATCATGTTGCACTATCTTACTGTCAATTATGACATATTTTTCCACGTGACCACTTCATCCCAGACACAATTCATGTAGTTTTAGTACGCCCTAAGTCATGTACAGTAGCAACGCTTCTCACATTTATGTCTAAATGTAGTGACACTCGTACATTGAACAACTCCCTTCTCAAACAACATAGCTTACATTTTGATTCGCTGAATATGGCTTATAATTTATAATAAGTGTGGAGAACAAATTGACCTATTCATCCGATCATATTGTAATAATTACAATGAATATACAAACTTTATGTCTGTATCTGAGTATAAACAAAACATAGGGAACACACAAAATTGATTTGAAATTGAACGTTATTAATGGTTATGTTATAAAAAAAGCACATGAGGAAAATACAGTCAATTAGCTTCAGACGTTGTAAACATTGACTCCTATTATGCCATATATGTCTACAATAAGAAAGGAAATATCAAACAAACATGACTGACACATACTTGACATGCTCATCTGTGTAGTCGGGGATAGTTGATGACAAAACACATCCTGGTCTCAATTACAATGCCTCATTCGTGCATTTCGATTCCCACAATGGATGCAGTGAGATATGGCTGGAATATTGCTAAAAGTGGCGTAAAAACATATTCAATCACTCACACATTCCTTATGTTGAACTATTCCTTATCTTCCCAGCCGTCCTTATATAAAACACGTGGAAACTATTTGTTTTAAACTGAATCACGAGTAAGTTCTCTTAATCAGTTATCTGACATGGAACATTTCAAAATGCGTAATAGTTTTAACATTTCAACCGTCTTCAGTCACTTTTGAAATATGTAATTGTGTGGTCCTTCCGCCTTTTCTATGCCGATAGCGGACAATGAGGATGACAGCAATTATAAGTAAGACGGCAAGCAGAGACAGTCCGATAGCAAGGCCTAGAGTAGCATCAGTTGGAGTGTCTGTGTCTTCAGTAGCAGTGGGTCTGCTGGGCGTGGGCGTCGGTCTCTTGGAGGTGGACGGTTGCTCGGTTGGTACAGTGGAGGTGTCGACACTGGTGGTCGTTACATCTTAAACAAAAAAAATTGAATCATGAGTTTGTGATTTTTTTACGCTGCTTTAAGCAATATTCCAGCAATATCACCGCGGGGGACACCAGAAATGGGCTTCACACATTGTACCCATGTGGGAAATCGAACCCGGGTCTTTGGCACGACAAGCGAACACTTCAACCATTAGGCTACTGCACCGCCTCTAGTCATGAGTGAGTTAACAATATAGCTCATAGCCGTAGAAAGATAAAAATAACTTTTTGATTTTTGCTATTCTTAAGGCTCATTAACTGTATATATTCACTAGTGATGTAGACCGCATGTCGGCCGTATCTTCTTGTGTATGCACAATGTTGCTTTGAATTGAAATTATATTCTTTTGACGATGTCACACCATAACGGAGAGAGGCAATATCAACAATTCCCTGAGTGTTCTGGTGGAATGCCTAGGATCTGATGAATACATTTCAAGTGCAACACCTCAGTTTTACAATTGACGTTTTAAAAACTTGCCTCCTGTAACACCGTTGTGTTTGAAGACTGGTTAAAATTCATGACGTGAATAGAACCTGCAAACTCACATGTCGTGTTAAGTTTAGTAAGCCAATGTTTACCTACTGAGCTCCTGGAGCAGGTGAATAGAAGTTGTTCAGTCATGACTGCAGCTGCAAATGTTTTTTCTCTCGCACGCTGTAAGAGAATTCCTTTCATACTGCGATACACTGTATTGTTTCACAGTAAGGCATGTAAATGGGTTTTTTAAACCTTTTTTTTCAATATCAGTTCAGTGAGTAAATAAGGGAGTTACTTTGAAGCAATATTAACGATGAGCCATAGACTTCCGATAATCGTTATGATGTGACCACTTAAAGCATCCATATTTTATTACCAGGAAGGATATTGTGGTAGCCTAGCAATAACTCATCAAGATTACAACTTGGGATGGATAGATGCACTTCGTAAATTTCAATCACAACTCACCAATATCTTCTTTGTTTGTTGTCAAATGTTTGTTCTATCTGGTGACATTGGTATCGCCCAACTCTTGTGGTCAGTCATCCCATTCAATGATTATTGCCATTTGTCATGGTTCAGAAATAGGGGTGTGTATATTTGTTTTGCAACACTGTGAGGGTAAGCTGTCGCTGCGAAAAGATTTATTTTGTAGTTGATTTAGCAAAGACAGTTGCTACTGAGGTTATGATGAAACACGGGGACTTCAGTCCACCGGCAGAAACATCGATCCAGTTCAAGTATCTATCAGTTGTCATTGCATGACAATAACCATTCTAGATTATACGCCCAAACAGATTAAACTGAGTCGAATTGAGGATATCAGATGTGAAAAGTATATGCATGGATCAATCAAAATAGAAGTTCAAGAAGGTCGTGGCTCGAGATAAGCCCCAAGAGTCAAGTCTCAAAACTGAAATAATTAAATTTCAGCCGATTATCAGTCATTTATGGTTTCACGGCTTGTGTGCAGTCTTCCATACAATAAATATCAGAAAGCTATGAGTTAAGGGGTATATAAGTGATGATCAATCTAGTGTTGAGAGAAAGTTTTGGTTACACTTTGTGTGTAAACTGCAAAAAGGACGAGCGGAAGTAGCGATCCTTGCGGCACTCCCCATGTCACACTTGTCTGATATTGCATAACCAATAATCACAGACAGACATCCACTCGATAAATACAAAGATAAAGACCAGTGACTTCGACGCCCATCTAAGATTGTAACTACAGTAAACTACGGTTATAACGAACTCAAAGGAAACACTTATTTGTAATTCTTTATAAGTGTAGTGTACAGCAAATATACAGGAAATGGGCGGGACCAAGAAATAGTTTGTTATATCCGTCAGTTCAGTGTAAGCGAGTTCGTTTTAAACGATGTTTACTGTACTTAATTAGTTTTTGAAGATCTGTATGCTTACACAAGGAGTGTTTTATTTATATATTACACATGTATACTGATATAAGTTTCTTCGTCATGTAACGGATAGTTTTTAGGGTGGATAACGCCAGCGGATGAAAGCGATTTTCCATTTGGGTCATTTGAGATAAATATGCCAATACAGTGTTTACAAACAAACATTGCGTTGCCCTTGTCAATTGTCGTCGAGTTCAAGCAGCTTGGCGAGGACACTGGGGTATCAGTTTCGGTATTTGCGCTAGATCTCTACTGCTTGGGGCCTTTCTGTCACCTTTAAAACATTTGGCATAAACGTGTCCGAAATAGTAATGCTTCATTTGTTAATTTCTTTTGCAATTTGGACAAATTGGCATCTGCAAAAATTGAAACCGTTTCAAAAGACGGAACTCATTTTGTTGGTATGTGGGACATATGACTGCATTTCGTAGCCGGCAATGGCCCGGCAGTTTCTAAACTAACATCTACAGGTGAGTGATCAACTCTGTATGAGCAATAATGTGTTGTGACCCATGTGGAACCCACTTGGCAAAACCCTGCCAGTTGCATCACTTCGACCACCCTGAACCCACTGTGGATCTTGTTGGCGGGAATGTTGTTCAAGCACTGCGCTGTCTGGGCTATGTACTGGCAGGTGTGGTATAGGTGGGTTATTGCAGCTTTATCATTTAATGGATTGTGTTATCCATGCGAAAAGCCAATCGGATATACATGGTATCATGATCCATAAACATGCAAATGATGTAACTTAACTATTTCCATGGTGAATACATCGATGCAATGTCTGCTTGTTCAATTGGCTTACTTTCCCAAAACGTTTGAGTAGGGTATTCTTAATGTGTTGGTGATTGTGTAGGTCTGTTGTAATATATGATATATGGACAGGTCACTGCAACACCATATTTTTATGTCATTCAACGACATTACCTCTCAAACATTGATTATTCTAAAGCTAAGAATGACATTACAGGACATATTAAAGATGTTACTACCCTCGTGTATTTCCGTAACAAAGAGCAAAGACCCAATCTCTATGTCAGCTGCGTAAAACATCATCAACTAGTTTTTTTAGAGCGAAATATAAATATTTATTCTTCAATCAAGGTTTCTGAAAAGGGTCTTTGAAGAAAACATTTGTAATTTATGATCTGATGGCAAGGAAGCAATAAATGAACACATGACATGCTGATAATTATAAGGGAGTGAGTGAGTTGGGTTTAACGCCGCTTTAAACAGTCTTCCAGTTGCATGGTACTGACAAACATAGAAACCATCAGTTTCTGGCGAGCCCCAGGGACGCAACTCTGCATAACGAATCGCGGCGACAAAGACGCCTGGACGAATCCGATTTCGTAAATAACCTCTTACGACAAGCATAGTTGCCTTTTATGGCAAGTTTGAGTTGCTAAGGACTTATTCTACGCCGGATCTTCAAAGGTCGTACAAAGATATACATGCATAAAAAACCTTACCAATCAACTTGTCAACTCCGGCACAGATAAGTGGCCTGGTGATGTTGTCACACAGGAATGTAACAGCGACGGCTCCAAAGTGATCGGCTGTGACATTCAAGGGCTGGGCTAGGACAGCGTCAGTGATATTGTTCATTGTCTGTTTCTCTAGGAGTGTGTTGGTAATGCGTCCAGTCGTCAGAGTAAATCCAGCATGTTGAGAACAGTAGTAGTTCTGGATGTCAGCTGTCAGAGTGAGATTAGTGCCAGGTTCCAGTACGTTGGTATCCCTGTCGGTGCTGATGTTGCACTGTGGCAGTGCTGGTTGCAATAAATAGACAGATAAAATCAGATATTAGCTTCCTGAGGATCATGCATAAAAGTAGAAATAACAAAATACTTTGACAATGCACATACATATATTGGTTCAAATAACATGAAATGAGATGTAATGTAATCAATATATAAATATGAAACATAATTATCCTTAGTAGTTCGTTATTAGAGATGCTATGTATTGTGCAGATAGACTGGTCATGTTTAACTTGCAGAACAAGATTTCTTCCCCTAGCTTTGGTAGGATTCGAACATCATTGGTTTGAATCCCAGATAAGTCTCTTGTGATCAGTGGTTTGTCGGTACCACATCCGTGCTCGCAGGTTTCACCCAATTGGTAAGCGGCTAAAACTTATGTCACTTCAGAAAAGTGTAAACGCAAACTCGCTGACTCGGACATAACTCATGTTTTTGTACGGTAAAACTGACTTCCATTCCATACCAGGCTGTTACGCAATGATATTACTGGCATATTGTTATAAGAGGCGTTAATCCGAACTCGCTAACTCAGATCCTATTGTAAGGAAAAGGAATTTTCTACCCACTTTTTAGAAGCTTCTGAACACCGTTACAAGTAAGAGTCCAACTTCTGTCACACATAAGGACCAACGTCACATCGCCTAATCGGGTGATATCGACGTTGAAAGTTGTGTTAAGGGTCAAGTCTGATACAAAACTGTGTTTCGTGATCAACGCTTCAGTCACAGCACCAGTGGTCAGATCAAATCAAAGCCCGCCTCCCGAGAACAGTAGTAACCTGTGATGTTTACTGTTAAAGTCAGCTGTGCTCCAGGTTCCAGGGAGTCGGTGTCCTCGCCACTGCTGATGCCACACTGTGGGACCCCTGGTGGCAGAATTATGTGAAGAAAGTGATTTAACAACACAACACTGACATGTTTGTGAAGTGAGTGGGTCGTATAATAACAGCCTCCATTGATCAATTATGCAATCACTAAAGGCTGGTGTAACACAATTATTATTCCCAACATACATGTAAGACATATGAGAAACGAAAACACACTAATATCCATACTTCCGAAAAACAATATGATGAAATAATAGTCAAGGTGTAATGACGATAAATGTGTGTAAAAATGAATTTCGGGCGTGGAGATCAGTATCTCTTGTCTTCACCATGTTAGGCGATGCTATTGGTTAATTTGGATATGGCTGACCTTGGTCTTGCAAGTCGCAGATACTCTACAAACGCAGGTGCTGCATCTCTCTGCCAAAGAACATCCTGAAAATGCTCTTTTGGGGACACGTCGAATCTATTGCGAATCTATTGTGCAGTGGTATTAATGTGAAAAGACAATTTTAATCGCATTGAAGGCCGTTTGAATGTACTTGTCCTTCAGTCGAGCAAATACACTTTTTGATTTGCCAAATATTTTCGATGATAATAATATATACGTGTACTTTGAATATTTTAAGAGCATGTTACCTCAACTGCATTAGTGATTGTGCGTTCCCCTATTGGCTTTGGCTTCTGTGTGCACGTGCACCACACGCTCTTCATGCATGATGTGTAATTTAGTTGTGATTACATGATGCATTCAATGAAAGCTAATGTAATTCTAATCATTCGTTCCCTTATTTTGTGCTATATTTATGATTGCATCCAACTGATGACCTTCAGCAACAAGGGTAAGGCTGCATGTTTCGCAAGCCTTAAGCTACACACGGTTCAGTGATTGTCTTTAACTTCATTACATCTTGGGTAATAAAGACACCAGTCCTATCAAGACCTGAATCAACAGGTCGTGGTAAGACTTAATACTTTAGAGATTATATCATATCCATATTTGTCCTTGGCGGGGAAAAGTACTAAAACGTTTGCATTATCTTTTTTATTTGTGAGTTAAAATTGCTTAACTCATCTCAGTGAATAGGGTTCAAGATATCCATTAACTCAACATATTCTTTCCAGACTTCCATGATTTTATACTCACCAGCTGTCGTCAGCTGACACACGCCGACAGGGATGGCACCCACTACATTCGCATCAACGATCGTCCATGTTCCAGCATCTGCCACCCCAACACTGTGTATAGTGAGTGTAGAGTGTGTGTCGTTTATAGTTGCCCTGTATCCAGCCACAGGGCTGCAGCTTGGGTTGCAGGTGACGACATACACACCGTCAGTTGGTCGTACCCATATAAAGCCTGTATAGTTGCTTTTGTCACCTACTATTGTGTATTCTGTTCCAAGAAGAGCCACTCCCCCAGGGCAGTCTGTGTCCGTCAGTGCTGTAACGTGGAAGAGAGTTGTTCTGTTATCACTACTATCAGTACCGTTACTGCTGTTGTCGGGGCTTCTGTTAATCTCACAATATATACATCGCATATACCATGGGGTTCAGGAATAAAAAAAGGTTGTCAGGCACGGGGACTTGGTTGATAGCGTGTCATCGTTTCCCGATGTCGTGGATCGTTGTACGCAATGGCGGTCACTGGATTGTCTGGTCGATTTATTTATTGGAGTGTGGCGTTAAAGAAAGAAAGAAGGAAACAAACAGACCCTACACATAAAACAACCACTTTTCAAAACGAGCGAGTGAGTGAGTTCAAATTTGACATCGAATTGGCATTATTACAGCCATATCGCGATGAGAACAAGTTATATAGTTATATACTGAGTCAAATTAAAAACTTCACATTTATGATATACAACGGACAAATGTATCAGAGAAGGGAATTTTTAATCATTAATGTCCAAAGAAGGATTTTAATTAACGGTGGTAACCATAATTTCTTCCAAGCACCTACGGTATTTGGTAATGACATCAACAGTTTAAATCATAAGTCCCAAGTACAGAATCTGATGCCACACAAGTTCAGTAGCGTGTATGGCCACCATGTCCGTTAACAACTGCCACACAACGCCTCCGCATGGACCTTGTGATACTTGATCGGGAAGACGATGCCATTGTTGCTGCAAAATGGTGCCAAGATCTTGCAAATTCTGTGGTTGGTTCTGGAGAGTGCGCAGACTTCTGTCAAGAGCATCCCAGACGTGTTCGATAGGATTGAGGTCGGGAGACCTTGACGGCCAGTCCATGACGTTGACCCCCGCATTCTGAAGGAAATTCCTTGTCAAAATTGCTGTGTGGGGTCTGGCATTGTCGTGTTGGAAGATCAAACCGGGCCCATGTGCTGCCATAAAAGGCAGAAGTTCTGGTGCCAGTAACTGGTCGCAGTAAGCAGCATCGTTGAGATTGCCACGGATGACAAGAAGCCTGGAACAGGCATTGCCACAGAAAGCACCCCACATCATGACACTTCCGCCTCGAAATCTGTCAACTTCCTGTACACAATACTGGGCGTAACGCTCATGACGGCGCTTCCACACCCTCGACCTACCATCAGCAAATTGAAGATTAAATCGGGATTCATCACTGAAGACGACTTGATTCCAATTCGTCTGAGTCCATCGTAAGTGTCGCTGTGCCCACAATTGACATTGACGTCTGTGTAATTGAGTCAGAATCGACCCGTAGTATGGCCGTCTCAGATGAGCAGTTCTCAGATGGTTTCGAACAGTTTGCGCACTCAGTCTACCCCTAAACAGTTAATTTCTGGTTGATGTAGCCGTCAAAAATCGGTTTCGGAGGTGACGATCCTCTGCATGTGACGTCACACGTGGTCGACCTGGGCGAGGGCGCTCAGCGGTGGTACCCTTTTGCTTTAGACGCGTCTGTAAATCATTAACAGTCCGACTACAACCCATCGTCCTTGCGACTTCAGCTACGGACGTTCCCGTCTGAAACATGCCGATGGCACGTTCACGTTGCACCTATGAAAGGCGTGGCATGACACATGGCCGTAAAGACTTTTGTTTTCTTGTGTTTTTCGTTTTTTGTTAATTACTGCTAACATGTATGGCTGAAAACACGTGCGGTAGTATGGCCACGTGACCAGTTGCACGTGAAAAAACACTTTTGCCACTATAGTGCTGTGCACATGATTTTTATCGATTCACCTGCACAAAAACGGGTGTTATCATAAAACAATACGTGGCCATTACTGTTTAAATACACAATAAGGGCCCACAATGATAACTGGTCAAAATGTTAACATTTTAGGATTGTGAAGTTTTTAATTTGGACAGAGGACAGAGAAACAGTAAGGTTACCACATCGAACAGCAAGTTACCCTTTCGTGGACAACAATAGTATCAGTTCATGAAAACAAGGAATGTCAACACAAAAACACATTGTAATAGATACCATGAACTTTGAAATGACAAAATACCTGTAGCCATTTTAAATACAGTGGTTGAGTATGAAATAGCAATAAAGTGCAAGCAATACGCTTGTAAAATATAACAACTTGTGAGAACAACTTTAGCCTCAATGTTGTGGAGCAGATGATGCATTCTGATGTATTTGAACGTGGATTAGGACGTATATTGTTCTCCACCCTCGGCGTTTAAAGCAGCGAGCTGTGATGGAGGTATATGTTGGTATTGCAGTGGTATGTTTTATTGTTCCATCTTCCTTATTCGCCAACTGACCAGGCCGCGTCATACCAAGATACATTAAAAGTGGTACTTGTTGTTACCCTGTCTGGCGCTCGCTATTAAGGGTTAAAACAAGGACCGGTCGGCTCGGAGTCAGTATACTGTGTCCGAGTCGGGTATTTATGTTAAACTGCGGCATGATATTTAGCACTATATATCGGCATCAGTCCGGACGAGTACAGTCAGCCACACAGACACACACACGTGCATGACGTCGCTATATAAGTGCAATAATTTTGGACGCGACGTTAAACCCAATTTCAACTCATTCTCCGTATTACCCAAAGGACATCTAAAATGATCTATTGAAATAGTTTTACCTGAAGACATTAGGTAATATATTTAGGGATCATTGCTGCATCCCAAACCCATATGATACATTAACACGAAACCCGTGAAGATCCGGGATAGAATAGGTCTTCAGCAACCTATGTCGTGCTGTCAATCACTGGACAGTCAGGTCCAGACTCGATTATTTACAGACCGCGGTGCAAGCACACAAGCAAACACGCATCGGTGTGACATCAATAATACCTCGGTGTATGCGTTTTAATATTAATATACACACGACTGGCATGGATGCTTTCTTAACATTGGTATTTAACAACATTGACTGGGAACTGGGAAAGACATGCTTCATATATTCTTCTCAAACAGGTGTTCTATCCAGTGTTTTTTTTGTCTTAAGATCCATTTAGATGTCACTAACGCCAGGCTAAGGAAACATGCGTACTTTGTAACATTGGAGTTTGCATCAATCATAGAGATACCTGTTGTAGAGGCATCAACTGCTAACAGACGAACTATGTATAGAACATAAACGTAAATGAGATTCATGTCTCATAATTGCTAACATGATGCTAACATCACATTTACAAAACAGACGTAAAATCAGTTCAAACGCAGTACCGTCTCCGCACTAGGATTCCCTCGGCTCAACAGGTAAGTTTCACAACAGCATTCTTCATTACACAGACATACAGGTTAAATACAAAACACGTGCGGGTTGTTTAATGTCACAGTCGGCTTTTTTAAATTGCGTGGGTGATTTCAAATATTACATCGCATCGGCAATATTTCAGCCATATTGCAAAGTGAAAAACATAGCCATTATTTTTAAAATAGACATTGAATGATAATAGTTTCCCTTGTGAGAGAAAAGTCAATATCCAAAGCGTATCATAGTAGATTAGTAAGGGTTTGCAAATTTTCCTTAAATACTTTGGCATTTCATTTATCATGTTTTTCTTAACAAAAAGTAAATTATCAGCTAATTATGAATATTATTAATACCAATATTTTATCGAGAACTGAGCA